CACACCCCACACACACACACACAGACAGACACACCCACAGACAGACACACACAGACAGACAGATGCACAGACAGACAGACACACATACACAGACAGAGACACAGACAGACAGACACACACAGAGACACACACACACATACACACACGCACACAGACAGACACATACACACACACACACATACACACATGCACACATGCACACAGACACACACACACACACACACACACATGCACTCACGCACATGCACTCACGCACATGCACGCACGCACAGACACACACACCCCAAGAGAGGGAGAAAGGAAGAGCTTCCTCTTGTAAACCTTTCTGTAAGCTGAGTTTTTAGGCAGCTCGCATTAATTTCAAGCATTTCAGTTATGCATGCTTATATTTTCATGTAAGCCTGGCCGTCCATGCAGTAAGTTCTTTAGGTCCTGCTCTGTGCATTCTGTGTGACAGACAGCCCCTTGACCCTGTGCCCACTCTGAGGAGTTCTGACAGATGACTGGATGTCAGTGGCCTTCTCCCCACAGAACATCATTCCCTTCCCTAGGCTGCAGGGTAGTGTGTGTGTGTGTGTGTGTGTGTGTGTGTGTGTGTGTGTGTGTTTGCTCAAGCAAGCGAGAGTGTGTTTGTGAGCATGTGTATGCGCGCGTATGAGCGTGTATGCACGGGGTGTTCTCCCTGGTGACATTCAGTCACATTGCTTCTTGTTTCTTTTAAGTGTTAATCTACAGGCTGCTCACCCCTCAATTCTCCTAGAGTACCTTTTCCCTTTCTTCCCTTATTTTGTTCTGTGTGCAGTTGTGGTTGTTTTTCTGCAGCGCTGGGATCAAGCTCCGGTCCTCATGCACGCTAGACAGTTCTCCCCAAGAGACACAGCCCCGGGCCTTTTGCATTTTTATTTTACTATTTTATTTATAATTTTGAGTTTGCTACCCAGCTGAAGCACTGTGTTTTAAGCCTTCCATACCCACTGTCTCATGATAGTCAGCTTCCATGTTCTTGTTTCCCTTCCTGCACCTGTCCAGTCTCTGCCTCTTACGATTCTTCACACTGCTGCCATGGTATGATGACTGTGGGGTGTCACTCATATGAATTTTAAATCCTTTATTCCTTTTCATCTCTACAGTTTAGCTGGTTATTTGTATTTCTCTGATTGTTTTTTGGGGGGTGGGGAGTGGGAAGTAGCCGAACATCTCAGGTGAGCCCAGGTGGGCTGTCAGCGGGGGCTGTGGTCTGAGGAGGAGACAGCTCATGGCCGCTGCACAGAGCATGCCTTATCCTTCTGCCTGTCACCTTTCCCTCCTGTATTATGGCCCTTGTCAAGGACCCTTGTTCCAGGAAGGAAGGATGTGTACAGAAGTTTGGAAACACACGATCTCAATCCATCCTTCCTTTCTTCTTTGTTTCTGAACGTTTTGTCATGCCTACCCTAAAAGCTTTTTAGCAGGTAGAGACCGACCTAAGCCTGTAACTTTCCCTTTTCTTTTTATCCTGCTTCTCAGTGATTTTGAGTTACCACGCTAGGGATATAGAATGTTGTCTGAGTAGGTGGATGTTACTGTTAATGAGATCCAGATCGGCTGTCTGATGTTCTTGGTGAAGGAGATAGGCATCTTTTATTGACATTTTCCATGAAGCATTTACCACCTTTTAAAAAACGATGCTATTATTTTAATCATTATCTGTAGAGTTCTTAATTATTTATGGAAAACTAGTTTATGGCTCTTGTCTTTCTTGTGCTCACCACTTGGGATGGGACGATGAGAAGTGTGAGCTCAAGTCTGAAATCATAGGGGATATCCCCAAAGACTCACTGGCACATCAGACAAAATTTGCTTCTAGATTTTACAAATACCCCAGACTTGGGAATCATCTGCTTCAATGCCTTACCTTGGGATTCCAATCTTTAGTCCGTTACTAGTAGTGGAAGTGTTGGTTTTAAACAGTGTGTGGCATGATCCAAGGAGACAGCTGATTTCTGTTTTGGGGGAGAGAGAAGAATCTTGCTGTAGACTTTTCCATCCCACCTCTACTGTTGAGTTACCGTGGAAGAATAAGGGATTTCAGGCTCACTATGCGTTCTGATTTCATGGGTCTGAAGAAGGGGCCCTTTTCCAGTACTTCATTACCTGAACATCAAATGCTATGCAAGTGACTCCATTTGAAGGAAGGGTTGAAAGTAACTAACCTGAAGCAAAATTTCATGGGCTTAGTAAGTTGGAATGGAAAAGCAAACATAACACGTAACTGGTACCTTAACAGCAGTCCCTCAATGTCCCCGGAGTTTGGGGTAAGGAGCCTATAGGTGACACAGTCCTGGGCTGCTTAAGTTCCCTGTATAGAGCGGCCCAGTGTTTGTGTATAATCTATATACATTGTCTCACACACTGAAATAATCTCAGGAGAGTGTACAGTAACTAGCACAGTAGTAAGGATTGTGTTGGTGGCTGTGCTGGACCGCTCAGGAGCTCAGGGCAAGACACACTCAAAGCCTGTGTGTCTTCAGTAAACAGTTTCTTTTTCCTATTGTAGTATTGTGCTATAGAGCCAGACTGGCCCGAAACTTACTTTGTAGCCCAGAACACTTTTCTTCCCCAGCCTCCCAAGGGCTAGAACTAGACATATAGGCCACAATGATAGCTTTCAAATATGGCTTTCAAATATTTTTGATTTATTGGTTTTTTTTTTCAGTCTTTGGGTGCAGAGTGAATTTACGTAGCCAGCTCAGTATGCTTTTCATGTCCAACTTTGTGTCCAAGGCCTCTCTATTTCTCATGTTCTGTTAGATAAGCATTATAATATTGATGGATTCATTCCTGATTGACCCTGTGATGTTTTCCTTCTCCTGTTTCCCAGACTTTTCCCCCTAATCTTCCTAATCATCTGCCTTTGTCATGCCTGAAAGTCTCCATGTGCCTATGTCAAGATGGGGCATGACAGCCCCAAGATGGTACATGATAGCCATAGAATTTACATGACTCTGGATTCTTGGGTAAATTTTGTTTATCCAGCTTCTCAGGATGCAATTTGGTTTGTGAATCTTATGATGATCAGGTAATTCTACTAAGAAATTATTGATGACTTCCAGTTGAGTGGGCATTTTGAGAGAAAGTGTTTATTTTATGAGCAGCTTTTGGAGAAGATCCATACACAAAATTATTAAAATATTCTAAAATATTTGGCCTATGTACACACGGTATATCTGAAATGTAACAGAATATCTTCTGAAGATAGGGATGACATCTTCAGTTATTTTATATTATGTATATATGTGCGTGTTTGTATATATGTGAGTGTGTGCATATTGTAGGTGCCTGTGGACCTACATATGGGTATGTGTGTAGGTGCATGAAGGCAACCAAAATTGCCTTCATGTGTCTTCCTTGGTCACTCTCCTACTGTATTCATTGAGTTGAGGTTTAAATTTGAACCTGAAATTCACTGATTCAATCTGGTCTAGCTAACCAGTTTTCCCAGGGCATCCCCTGTCTCTGTGCCCAGAGTGCTGAGATTACAGGCATCTGCCATGCCTGTTAGCCTTTTACATGATATCTGGGCATCAACATTCCAGTACTCAAGCTTGCATGGCAAGTCCTTTATCCACTCAGACTTTTCCCTAGCCCTAGATCTTATCATTAATAACTCATTATCTGTATGCAAACATCTGCAAATCTGAACCAAGCTGCACACTAACTTCTTCAAACATTTCAGACAAGAGATATTCCACACACAATGCTTGTGAAGCTGTAGCAGTTCCAAAAGTGGTTTCCTGCATGTCAACTCACTAGGATCCTAAAAGTAACCCTGAGGGCCACACACACAATGAATGAGAGAGAAATATTTTTTAGGATCTTCTATGGTATGAATCTCCCCAAGAGTAAAGCAAGATCTAGACATCTGTGATGGATGTTTACTTGGGGGCACATGGGTGCTTTGAGTATAGTCATTGGCAAACACTTTCATCGATGTATGACAGCCTTAAGAACGCCCACAGTAATCACCGGGCATGGAGTTTCTTGGGTCCCTCCTGTCATGTAACATCTATTTGACATATAATGGACAGAGAGTCAGCCCTGTTAAGCCACAGAGGTAAACTGTGTAGTTAGGAATAGTGGAAACCTGTGTCTCTAATCGCACTGCTGTATACACTGAACTCGGGGTCATTCTCTCTTTAATGTGGGTGAACTGGCATTGTGGACCTCAAAGAATTTGACCTTGTCCCACAATTAATTAATACCAGGGGCCTGACCTTAGGTGTCCATGTGTATTCCAGGTACATGTTGGTCCATGCCTACATGAAATGTCCAAAGATTTAATTGTTTGAATGATACTTTCAATGTCCCTTTGTTGTAGTATCACAAAATATTAACTAATCTGATGAAACATAACTAAT